TGTGGATCAAGCTCCACCTCGCCGTTGGCAAGAAACGTCGCCCCATCGGTCTAGACTCCGCGGCACTCCAGACACGATGAGCGGGAGATCTAGACGCGGCGGTACGTACCTGCGGGACAAGCACTCACCAACTGGACGCTGGCGCGAATTGGCGAAGCGGGAAACGCCAACTTCACTTCTGGATCAGAGCGCATTCCGTGCCTTGAGCCTAAAGCAGCTTCCATTCTAAGACCCGCTGGAGTTGCGACCGCAGCAGCACATACAATGATTAGCTGGGCTGCAGCGACTACTTAGGATATCCTCCATCAGCGAGTACGATTGTTTTGCAAAATGAGTTCCGCACCATAGCCGCGCTGCTTTTCGCCTTTGGCCTGTCCGCCCTCCTCCCTTGCCCTCATACCGCGCCGGCCGTCGATAATGTATACACAACAATCAAATGGGCGTCCACTCAGAGGATCCCATCCAGTACAGCAGCGCCGGTTGTTTTACCTCACCCGTGACCCGCGTGCGGGCCAGAGGAGTGGCAATGGCGGCCATGGTGGCCATCAGCAGGCTGCCGGCGGGGAAGTGAGAATGCAAAGACAGTCTCCGACGATGGTCGCGGTGCAGGGTAGAGACAGCCTCCAAGGCGGCTCAGTCAGGCCTCAATTACCCCAGGGTCTCTCAATGTAAGAGGATGTGAGAATTCCTGAATGCTCCACACTGACCATCCGTTCGTAGAACAAGACCCCGAGAGAACCCCCAGAACACCTCACCCATGCAGGAACAGAACCTTGAGTTGGAGTATGTCCGTCACCAAGAGCTCTCTGGTGTGAGACTACCCGGAATCACCTAACCCCTGCATAGGACCTACTTATCGGAAAACTTCAGTACCCTGCAGCAGATTCTCTCCGACACCACGGATCGGTATGTTCAATCGCCAGGATACGGCCACTGGGAATGTATGCTAACATGTCGCGCAATTCGAGACTCGATCGTTTGTCTGCCAGAGATGAGGCTTTCTACAAATCATGCGAGTCAACCTTGACTAACCTCACGGAGCGGTGAGTTCATTCGAGAACGGATACTATTGGCGGTGCATGCTAATGTCTGGCATGTGTAAAGCGTTGAGAAGTTGATCGTCAAGGTGGAGAGCTTCTACAAGCTAATTGAGTCGGCACAGGCGTTTCCTGCGCCTGAGGGCTTGGACGCGGACGGCGTGGATCTAGGAGACATG